TAAAATAACCAATAAAAATAGAAATTTTGTGTAAGAATACATAAAAACATTAAAGATTAAACCTCCAGGATGCGAGTTTCTTGTTCAGGCTTCTTCAATTCAACCAAAACAAGAGTTGATTAATAAGAATTGTTAGACAAAATATATAATCCTAATCACGTAAAAAAGATTTAACCAAGAAGCATGATACTTACAATAATTATGTTCTTTCTATTAAAGAAAATATAATCAAGATTTGCAATCTAGGGACCTTCAGGTGTTATTTCACTGTATGTGTTATTTCAATGCAATATAGAGATGTCATTGAGCATAAGTGTTAAACTTAAAGAGGCAAACAAATTATATTATGAAACATATTATGAATTATATCATAAGTATAAACATAAAACTTGAGCTAAAATTAAAGAACTAAACAAATTTCTGAATTTGACACATAATTTCAAAAAATACATGTTGTGTATATGGCTTCTTGACAAAAAAAAAAAAAAAAAAAAAAAAAAAAAAAAAAAAAAAAAAAAGATATGATGCTAACATGTTGGTAGTTGGGTTACCAGTGTACCTACACTACAAAACATAACTACTTGAGTATATATATATTATAAAAAACAGGAGTATACGGTACCAAAGAATTCTTACCGTTGCGTTAGATATGAAGCATGTTACAAGCTAGCATTTTTTTCACAGTGAGGGATTTCATATTCACCACCAAGGCCCCCTTATATCATTTGATATAAAATATGCTTCAAGTTTCCTGATGTTATTTAACAAAAAAGTTGAAATATAAAGCTAATAATAAAAATCACCAATACTTCATTCACATAGCTGCCAAGAATACATTTTATATTTAAATTGATTGCATACGAAGAGGAAAAGATGAAACAGGAGGTTAACCAACATCTATTGAAGACGAAAATGATTCAGGAAAGAGAGAGCATGCTAGCTTCCTATCACCGAAAAAGTGTTGCTCAGAGCACAGTAGGTGGCAGCGACGACGATCAGATACAGATACAGTGAGTGGTGCGAGGTTGGAGAGTGGGTGGTTCACTACCGATGGTGATGATGACGATGAGTTAGGCGGATGAGGTGCGATGTCGGCTATTCAAAATAGGGTTTTTGCTATTTGTTTGAGCAAAAATGCGAGTGTAGAGGACAGATGAGAAAAATAGTATGTTTACTTTTTTTTATTTAATTTATGAAATGTCAATGTTAATGCCATTAATTTGCCAAACGAAAATGTGAATATTTAATGCAATTAATTTGTAAAACGGAAATGTGATAGGAGTATTAAAAGGTATGAATAAATTTATTGTATATTATGCAGTAGGTGTAGGACCTATTAAATTTCAAGAAATGAGCAATATCCTTCAATATATATATATATATATATATATATATATATATATATATATATATATATATATATATATATATTATATATATATATATATATATATATAGTTAGGTTCATATGAGATGACCTAATTTTGTGAAACCGTGAGAAACAATTCTAGCTACTCATTTAGAAGAAAAAACAAAAACATTTTAAAAATGCAAAATCATTGAAAATTTTCAAATTTTTTTTTCCAATATTATTTTCGAAATATATATTTTCCAAAAAAAATAAAAAAATACGAAAACAATAAAAACAAATAAAAAAACTACATTTTTTTTACATATTCTAGTAGAATATTATAATATTTTACATATCTGACAAATCTAGTAGAATATTCTAACAATCTAAAAATTACATTAGAATATGTACAGTGTAATATTCTATTAGAATATTTCATGTGTTTTAAAAAAAAACGGTAATTTTTTTTTTTTTTTTTAGGTAAATAAAGTTCCAAAAATAATAATTAAAAAATGAATTTTTGGATATTTACTTTTATTTTGCATTTTAAAATTATTTTTAGATTTGGTCTCACGGTCTCACAAAATTAGTATGGTTTCAAATAAACCTGAAACATATATATATATATATATATATATATGGAATGATTATATCGAAAACAAAAAAACACTAAAAATCATAAAAATGGATAAAAAAAATACTTTGAGATCACAAATATATATATATATATATATATATATATATTAATATATATATATATATATATATATATATATATATATATTTGTGATCTCAAAGTATTTTTTTTTATCTATTTTATGATTTTCAGGTTTTTTTAGGGTTTTTTGTTTTCTATAGAAACTAAACCTATTTATAATATATATATATATATATATAATATATATATATATAATATATATATATATATATATATATATATATTATATATATATATATATATATATATATATATATAGTATAATGTTGGAACACATACAAGTGGAATAAAAAGTACCGAACGTGCAAAGAAAAAAAAAATAAAACACTATCGATTCTAATAATGTGATAATCAGACATATGCAAGGGAGCATTTGGAATGCCAACCATCGATCCATTGGTAAGTAATTATATTCACAAATTTTAGTATTCTAGTTTTCTTTTAAGACTAACTACATAAATATAATTGATGTTTCGTTTAGGTAGATATAAATGATGGTTAAAGAGCCCTTTTAGGTAGACGTGTTCATGTAAACATATATTGTTGTTGAATTGTAGAAGCGATATTATCGGGAAGTGCATTCCAAAAAGTATAATATGCTATTAAATTTTAAATTGATAACATGACTTATAATATAAGGTAAAGTATATTGTTATAATGGATACAAAAAACTCAAAGTATGTTGTTATTATGAATAAATTGCTATAATGGACAAAAAAATATAGTATGTTGTTATTAAATATTAAATGAAAACATGTTATTCTAATAAAGTGAAGTACATAGCTATAATGGTTTAAAAGTTAAGTAGATTTACTAACTATATATGTTTGTCTTGCCTTTTTCTAGTATAAAGGTCGCATAATGAAGTAAGTAGATTTACTAACTATATATGTTTGTCTTGCCGTTTTCTGGTACAAAGGTTGCATAATTAAGTTGCTATGATAAGAGAAATCCAAGCATGATTGCAATTTGATATGCAACAAAGGAAGTAATGCTTGAACCACAAATGACAACCCTTTTCAACCAAAACAATCCATCCAGTAATTCGACATGTAATCCACCAAATAGTTCATAATGTTTATGTTTATAAAATATTTTGGTAATTATATTTCACATTTTTTGTAATGTATTCGACACCAGATGGTATTGTGTTTGACACTTTCTATTATAGTTCTCACTTAGTTGTGTTTTACTATTGGTTTAATGTATAAGTATTTTTTGTATATATATATATATATATATATATATATATATATATATATATATATATATATATATATATATATATATATATATATATACACTAGCAGTGTACCCGCGCAAAGCGGCGGGGCGTGTAAATTCTTTCGGTGATATGTTTCCTCTACAAAAATGTTATTTTACAAAAGAAAGTACATGTCGAAGACAAAATAATCAAACTATGGTGTTATTTGGGAGATGAAGTCATTTTTTGTTCCTGGACGGTGGGCTTTATAGCAGAGGAGGGAACAAAGAGGTATATGCGATTGGAGGGATATTTGAATGCACATGCAAAATTTAAGGATATCTAAAAGGGTTCAAAATTTGAATGAATCCGGGATTTGAGGGAACCATATCAAATTGTTGAGAAATATAAGGAGATTTGATGATAAATATTTGAATTCAAAATGTGGTTAAAATTTAATATTATTTTATTAATGGTTACTTGTACTATCAGCTTCATCATTTGGACGTCTTAAAAATATAATATTATTATAATCAATCTATTTTTAGAAATAGTTAGATTTTTTTTATAAGATAGTAAAGATATATATATATATATATATATATATATATATATATATATATATATATATATATATATATATATATATCTTTTGGCAAAAATAGATATTTTCTTTAATTCTTAATATTTATAACAAAAAAATCATTTTAATTATGTTTTAGATTGTTATAGTTTCCTTATTATTAATTTCCCTATCATTATCATTATCGTTTCCTTGCTGTTATACAAGAATTATAGTCATTATCTATTCTAATAAATGAATGTTTTTTTATCACATGTTAAATTCTCATTTAATTTTTAACGTTATTTTGTGGTTATTTTGATTTGATTTTTTTTTCCACATTCAATTTTATGATTTTTGTATTTTAAATAATTTCATATAATACTTTAATATAATAATTACAATAAATGTAGTAATAAATGAATATCCGTTTTATTAATAGACTTACTTTCTTTTTTCAAAATTCACAAAATAAAGCTCATTAGTTTATTTTGTTTATTTATTTAAATTTAAAAGATAAAAAAATCAATTTGAATAATTTATTATTTTTCTTATTTTCTTAAAAATTCAAAGTTCTTAAATAATTAGATCTTTATATTTAACTTTTTTTAATTAACTCATGTAATACATAAGTCTTATACTTTGTGTTTTACTATATACCCTAATGTAATTGGCTTTGAGTTTAAGAAATATAGAAGTTATTTTTCTCTCAAATTTATTATGATGGAAAAAACTGGTTAAAAAATGACACTCTAGGGACATAATTTCCACGGAATCTACTGTCAATAAATATGTTCATCGGTAATCCACGGGTGATGTGGTAAACTATAGTCAAAGAACGTAAAAAATGATTAATCGGCAATAGTGTTCAAACCTATTCAAGGTTAATTCCATCGGTAATCCGTTCCCATTGTTGTTATGGAAACACCCGTCGCTAATTTGTCACAAATTATCAGTCGTAAACGTAGTCAACTGACAAAGAATGCCGATGGAAGAACGCATTTTTCTAGTAGTTCCATTTGTTTACATTTTAGATGAAAAAACTCGTACGTGTTGCCCAACATGCACCACGTATTACAACAACCTCTCCACGTGTGCACCCACATGCACGCATGCACCATATATAAATACCGCGACCACCAATTCACACAACCATTTCACGTTAATGGCAAAGCTCATTGTACTAACACTCGCCTTCACGGCCCTTGTAGCCTTTGCCTCCGCCCACGACAGCAGTACCATCGCCGAGGAGGGAAGCTCAGTCTCAGTCCCGAAGCAACAGTGCAGCCAACAGCTCCGGCGACAAAGATTCAACCAGTGTCTAAGTTACGTCATCAGCACCAAGGAGGACGGAAATTGGTGTGTCGATTAGTGGTTTTTTAGACCGGATTTTGAGCAATTATATATTAATTATCTCAAAAGTAGAAAAAAAAAACACAATATTATATATATATTCCTTATTTAGCATCTATATTTATGAAATACATAAACATGCAGGTGCTGTAACCTTCCCATCTGTTTTATATGCGATAAGGATCCTCCGGGACAGGGGCTGGAACAATGCTGCAACGAACTTCAAAATGTCGAGGAAGAATGCCAGTGCGAGGCCATGAAGGAGGTATACAGCCAAGCTCAGAAGCAACAGCAACAATGGAGCCAACAACAACAAGGTGGAAAGCCACAGCCGAAGACCCAAGACTTGAAGCAGATTGTTCAAAATCTGTGGAACCAATGCAAACTACAAGTGAAGCGATGTTGAAACCTAACTTCTAAGGTAGAGATCTAGGTTTATTATCTTATGTTATCGTGGAATAAATGTGTGTCGTTCGCATCTCTAGTCTAGCTTTATGGCTTTGAGATGGGAGTATTTCCCGAAATCATAATAAATAGGTAGATGGAGAGATATCATGTGCATCCATGAAAAATCTCGTGTGTAATTAATTGATGCTTTCAGCAGCTTGATAATAAATAAATAAAATGATGCATGGCTGTCTTTTTTTTTTTTTTTTTTTAATTATTCACGGAAAGATACGTGACAATTACAACCAACTTAACACATAATTTCTAATATTGGGTTAAATATTTAAAAAAAGTTTTATACGGGAGAAATTAATTTGACCATCTTAATTAATTAGAAAGTTGCTAATGTGAGTTGTTCCACAAAATAAGCAAATTTAGCAAAAAAAAAAAAAAAAAAAAAAGAACCATTTTTTGATTTTTGCAGAACACGATATTCTGATTTTATATTGCATTTTGATAAGAAGCATTAAGCATAACATGTTATGTTAGATGTTAGTAGTTGCCAAAAAACAAACATCTGAAAAATAAAGTATAAGTGGTTAAAAACATAAAATTGGCCAAAACATAATAGTTTTTTTGAAACCAATTAAAAAAATAAAAAATAAAAACCAAAAAAATTGAATTAACAGCTCTAAATGAAGGAATTTGTATAAATATTTTAAATCCAAGAAATGAGGCAAATCACAAACATAACCAAAAGTAGGAAATATAATATCACAAAATGATCATCTATTTCACAAAATTTCTTTATTTTAGTAGTCCCTAGTAGAAAAAATATTTTAAAAAACTGCAAACTGTTTTTATATTTCAAGAGATGACATAAATTTTGCAATAAATGATGTTAAAAAAAACACCTTCCCATTTTCAATCAAATCATATCCTAATTCCTAAACATCAATTATAATGGTGAAAATTTTTTAAAGATTTAAAATGGGTAATAACCTGAGAGTAAGGTGCTGTTTGATTTTCTGAAGCAAAAATTCATGAAGTCTGCGGACCACCTCTGCAACCCTCTGCAGTAGAAGAGGTGGACCAAACGGCTGCAGACTATAATTAAAAGCGTGTTTGTTTTTTTAACAGCTGCATACTGCTGCAGATATTAAAAAATTAAAATAAACTAATTTTATAAACCGAAAATAGCTTTTTAATACGTAAAATTTAATAATGTATAACATTTCGGTAAAAATTAATGATATTTCAGTAAAAAAAAATGATATTTCAACAAAAAATAAAGATATTTTCAGTAAAAAAATAATGATATTTCATCAAGAAATTATTATTATTGAATATAAAAAAATGAAAAATAAATTCAATAAGAATAAATGAAAAAAAAGGGAAAAAAATATGAAATAAAATTTTAATAACATATAATCAAAATTTCAGCAATAAAATAAGAAGAAGAAGAGGTTGGAAGAAGCAGTACAAGTGCTGCGCCAAACAGAGCACGTGCAGAGGTTTTTGACTCAGAAGGCTTCTAAAAAACAAACAGCTGCGAGATTAAAAGTGCTGCGCGTGTGCTGCGCCGCGCAGCAGTAAGAGGTTTGAAGAGGTTTTTTTCAAAAAACAAACAGCACCTAAGCCATGCATTTGATTGGCTCTTCTTGTTTCCATGGCTTTAATGATTTGCTTTAATGATTTTAAGACTAAAGGGAGTGGTATGGCTCTTCTTGTTTCCACTGCTTTAATGATTTGCTTTAATGATTTTAATGCTAAAGGGAGTGATAGCATTTGATAGTATTTGATAGTATACGCTAACAGATTGCCAAGTCATATTTATTTTGGACACTAATCATAATATATTATGATGATATGGAGTGGTAAGCATATTATATAATATAATATGATGATATAAAAGGTAATTTCTTTTTTTCTTTAATTAAATAAATGTTTATTTAAATATTTAAATAACATAAACTTTAAAATAGAATACAAGTTGCTAAGCTGGAAGTACATGCATCTAAAGCTGGAATAATGAAAATGTGAGATGAGACCACTTTTTTTCCTCAACCTGTTCTCTTTCTTCTCGTCAAGGGTATGGCGCACATGATTTAACAAATGGGTTTAGCGAACTGTTAGGGTGTAGTAGCGAGGATGCCACATAAGCTTAGTGAGGGAGTGGGGAGGCCACTCCCTTTAGCCTAAGAATAGATTCTTGCATGTCAATTGCTATTTTCTTCCTTTAATGATTTTAAGAATAGATTCCAGCCAAATCTGATGGAATTTGGGGAATAAAATGCCCATTTGATTGATAAGAAAATGAGACTCATCTTCTACTGCAAATTTGCTTATTTATGCAATGGAGTGGAGTTCTTAGCTATTTATGCAGTCATGATTGGAAAAATAATGCTTAAACTAGTAGTAATTTGGAACATTGTTACATAAATTAGTAAGAAACACGGTTTGTCGTATGAATTGGTGGAAAAGTGTAATTTTTTTTTTATTTTTTTTGCATAGATAAGTTTTTTTACCCTATCTTCTATGCACTGAGTGGATTTAGATTTATCACATACAAATATATAATGGGAAATACATGAAGAAAGCAAAACATGATACTATATCATCATAGAAACAGATAATCAAAATGTCCATTATCATGTTTCAGAAATTGGCGTAGAAAATATTCAAGACATATATCCATCATAGGTTATTAATGTAAATTGTGAAAAGGGTGAACGAAATCCAAAATAAAGTAAAGAGTAAACTACACGAATGGTCCTTATGGTTTAGGGTAATTTGCGTGTTTGGTCCCTAACTTATTTTTTTAACTCGGAAGGTCCCTATAGTTTGTTTTTGTTATGCATTTGGTCCCTGTCTTTCCTAAAAGGACTATTTTGACCTTTGTTTTTTAATTTATTTAAATAAACACACCCTCAAACCCACTCCTCTCACCTTACCTTACATACCCCGTCATTTTTCCTTATTTAAATAATAGTCTTTTTATGTAAGACATGGACCAAACGCGTAAGAAAAACAAACAGTAGGGACCAAGCGCGTAACAAAAACAAACAGTAGGGACCTTCCGAGTTAAAAAAATAAGTTAGGGACCAAACGCACAAATTACCCCAAACCATAGGGACCATTCGTGTAATTTACTCTAAAGTAAACTAAAAGATAGAAAAATCCATGGTAGAAACCATACTCTAAGATCCTAATCCGAAAGGTTTTGTGGTAAAAAAAAATGGTAGAAACCATACTCTAAGAACCCTAATTTAGCTGAAAATAACACATACAGCTCAAATTGAAAACAAAGGCTTTGGTATTCGCAAAGTTGAGAGAGAATAGATAGAAACCTTTCTCATAAAAATGTTCAGTATGAAATGGCTGCTTCAAATACCATAACAGAATCTTCAATAACAAATAAAAAGTATAACCATCAAGGGAAACCCATTGCTAAAATCATAAAGAGAGGAATCGTGAATTGCTGAAATGGTTAAATAAAAAAAATAAATCATACTTCGTTCCAAAGTCAAATCTTAGAGTTGTACTCCAAGATTGTAACTTAAGTGATATAATCTTAAGGAAGGTTTGTAACACTTGTCAAATATAGAGTAAAATGCTTTCTCACTCTTGTGCATTTGAAATTGGTAAGTTGTGATGTTTTGAATAAAACAAAGACCAACTAAAAACCAATTGTGTGAAGTGTTTATCTTAATAAGAATCCGCACTAACTCTTGAATATTTGTTATGTCAAGGAATGGTTCTTGATAAAGAGTGTCTTATATGTCAAGAGATCAGTGGGAGTCTTAAAAGTCCTTGAGATAGTTTTAACAACTAATCAAGAGTATTGTTAATCACTTGTCCACGAGTTTAGATTTGGCACTAACCTTGTCTTGTGATTAAGGTTATGACAAATTACATGGATAGGAGCACATACACCATAAAAATCTAAGTGTCATAAGGTTTCTCTCCGATTCATGAAAATGATGGTGATGAAACGCTTTCACTAAGTAGATTTTAAGTAGATAGCAATTATGATATTTGCATTCTCAAAGTCATTAGTGGAGCGCATGTGGTTAACCGGCACACTAACATAGATTTGTGAGGAATGGCAAAGGTCTAAACAATTAAGACTATGATTACGTCATCCGTTTCATAGTTCTAGAATTGTTTGGACACACATGTGTTCTATCTAAGGAAAGGTGTATGATTTTGATAAAGGTTTTATCAAAGCATCTCGTATCAGAAATCTGAATTTTAGTAAGTAAGTCTAGAAGTTCAGTTGAATTCTGGGTACATGTCAAAGCTAGTGGGAGCATAAGAGTTATGCTAGTAAGATAATAATCATTATGCTCTGGGAGCATGATTATCATGTTAAGTGTTGCAAGTTAGCAATGTTAATTATAGAAAAGAGAGTTTCAATTCGCTTTGAAAAGTTGTTTTGCTATAATTAAGGGAGAAGATTTTATACATCATTTCAATTCTATAAGCTTAGATTGAGATTTTAATCAAGTTTAGTCAAGAATATGTATATATGAATGTTATGCTGGAATGGTTCAACATAAGGAAATTCTATATATGTTGTATTCTCAAAATTCGTTTATGACTACGACATCCTTTTTCATAGTTTGAATTTTGAGAACATGGCAAATAAAAATTTTGATAGCATGAATCGTGTCCCATATGCTTTGGGTATAGGATCGATTACATCCATTCTAAATTTTCCAAATGCTTAGGGCATTAAGAGGGAAAAAGGAATAGAAATGGATATGACTAAAATGATTAAGCAATTGTCGAGGACAATCTGAGGTTTACCAAAGATTGGTTGCTCGTGGACAATTGGAAGTATAATGTAAATTTGGAAAGGACCATATTGACATATTCTGAAAATGAGGCAACTATTGTTCAGAAGTGATAGTCAAAATTGTAGTATGGAATTGTTTCAATAGGCGGAAGTTATTCATTGAATCTGTGTAAGATTAGAAAGCTTAATGCAAGAAGGACGTTCAAAGGAATAAACTT